TCTGGTAGTTCACTACTGGGAAATCTAGTATTGATCTCTGTCAGAAGAATAAAAAAAAATCTCAAAAATTTTAAATTTGCTATAAATCTACTCAAGACTTTCTATTTCACTTGAGTCCCTCCCCCCCCCCCTGGTTATCTGTCCATTTCATCTAGGTCATCTATTCCAGTGGCATACAGTTCACTTTCTGTTGCCCATAAGCAAAATACCCACTTTTGTTTCTGATTTTAAATATCTGCATCCTCCCTTCCTCCTCTCTCCATTTTCTGTCTAGCTACAGGTTTGTCAATTGTGTTAGGTTAACTGACTCTTATTTTTTTCTTCTTCACTATTTTATTATTTCTGATCTAATATTTTCAGACAGGAACTCATGTAACCCAGGCTGACCTTCAAGTAACTATGAACCCAAAATGACCTTGGCCTCTTGTTCTTCCTATCTACCTGTACCTCCTCACCACCCTCTGCTCTACACCCTCCTTGTTTCTGCATCTTTTGAGCTTAGCATGCTCTCCTGCATCTTAGATCACTGACTGGAGGAGACCTTCGAATGCTGCCTGCAACGGATCTATGAGCTCTGAAATGATGGGTTCCCACTCTCATCCTAATTTCCCTGTGTTTCATCTTTGGCTCACTGGCTGTTTCAGGGTGTGCTGTTTAATACCCACATGTTTTTGAGCGCCCTAGATTTTCTTCTGTTGGTTTCCAGCTCAATGCCTTTGTGACTAAAGAAGATTCTTTGCAGGAATTCAATCTTTTTACTGAGATTTGTTCTGTGACTTAACCCATAGTCAATTCTTGAGTTTCCCACAACTTAAAAAGGATTTGCATTCTACTTTTGTGGGGTAAAAGCTATACATACCTGTTAAGATTAGTTAGCCATAACGTTGTTAAACACCTCAAATTTTTATTTATGTTCTGCACTGCTAGAAGTGGGACTTCTACTACACATCTGTTAAAGTCATTCTTGTCCATTTTCAGTGGTGCTAGAAATTAAACCACCGGGCAAGCATCCTACACCTGAGCTTTTACTGCCAGCCCTCTTGGTGCAGTTTTCCTTTTGTGACAGTGTTTCATTAAGTTGATCAGGCCTTAATCTTGCAACCCTTTGCCTCCCAAGTAGCTGAGGCTACATCCCTGTGCCTCCAAACACCACTGAAAATTATTCTTCCTAGAATAAAAATATGGTTTAAAATTATATTTACATAACTTTTACACAAAAAGTCCTATTTACTAAGGGATGAATAGGTATTGAGGGTAGCAGACAAAGTCCAGAGTGGACATATTATTGACATGAGCATAGCATGTCAAGGACCCCAGTGCCTCAGATCCATGGAAATAACAAAGCCTTCCCCGGGTCAGGGTGAAAGGAATGGGAAAGCCTCCCCTGGTCAGAGCAAGCATGTTTACAAAGGCTGAGCTTTAGCTAAAACCAGTGTTTGCAGAAACTATCAAAGAGGGCCTCCTGGGTGACTGAAACCTGAGACTGCTTCTCTGCAGAGACCTACTGAAGTCTCTATTTTGCTGTGATGTGAGTTTCCCAGCTGCTGCTGCTGGTGGGCCTCCATCAGAGTTCACCCCCACCCCCCCTGCCGCCTCCATCCCAGCTTTCCTGTTCCTTATCCCCTATCATCCCAGTCAACTCAATCCCAAAGCTGTGTTAGACAGAGCAAGGTAGTAAACATAGGGAAGGCTTAGTGAGTACAAACTATTTCACTTCTGCTGGATATTAAAAAAAAAAAAAAAAAAAAAAGGAAAAGAAATTCCACCCATGACATCCTCTTCACACAAGCTTCCCACAGAACAGCATCTTAATGATGCTAGAGGAGTGTCACAACAGTAACTCACTTCCCCCAGTCTTTGCTGGCCTAAATCCTACTTACACTTTGAGACACAGGTACCCAAACCAAGATTTGATGGGGAATAGGCATTCTGAAATACTGATTTAATTGCAAACACTTACTGAGCCCATTTTGGGGATTCTTTTCTAAGGAGCTATTCACTCTCTTTTTTGTTTAGGGTCTCTCCCTGGGACGTGATTTGAAGAGTAGGTAGGTTGACTGGATGTAGCAAAATCCAGGATCCACCTGTCTCTACCTCTCTCGCACTAGGGTTATAGATACACTACACCATTCATGGCTTTTTTATGTAGATACTTGGGATCGAATTCAAGTCTTCATATCTCATAGCAAGCATCTTACTTGATGAACTTCTCCCCCATCTCATCCCATTTTTGAGCCTTTTATAGTGTCAAGATCTAATATAAAATCTTTAAATATATTATTTACTACAAAGTTCTATTATTATATCAAATCTAACATGTAATTATGAGTTTTCAATGCAGCAATGTTTATTATAGAAAAAATGAAAAGCATACTACTATATGGAACATAGCACTAAGAAAATTACAAAACCTAGTTTAAATTATACATTGTAGTGAGATATTCACTTTGTCTGCACCTGTGGCACAGACCAAGCCCACTGGGGGTGAGCACAGGGGCAGATGTTACCTGGGGGAACTAAGTCTGAGGAGGGCCCCGGGAGCTCTCTTGCTTGCAGCATGGGGACAGGAGAACATCTGGAGGCATCCTTGGGACCAGGAACCTACTGGCGTTCATCTGTCTATGTTGTAAGTTATTTCTCCCCGAATAAACATCTATTAGGCCTATTTGTTTCTCCTGATCCTTATTAAACCTCAATAATACATTGTCAATATGACTACAAAACTCTTAATTCTTGGGGTATTAAGATGCTATGATAAAACATATTCTTTTGTATGCCAACCTAAAAAATTAAAAAGGGGGAGGGATGATGGAAGATGTCATTCTGTAAATATGTTTCTCATACTGGTTAATGAATAAAGCACTGCTGGCCAATAGGAAAGCAAGAAAAATGGGACTAGGAGACAAGGAGGAAAGAGGAGTGGTAGGGAGGAGTCAGCACGGAGAGACTGGGGAGACCAGACGCCAGCCCCATTCCCCAGTAAGATGAAACCATGTGGAAACACTTAGATTAATAGAAATGGGTTAATACTTAAGACAGAGCTAGCTGATAAGAAACTAGTATCTGGCCAACAGCATTATATCAAATACAGAGTCTCAGTGTGTTGTTTGGGGCTGGCGCGGCGGTGGGACCCAGCAGCGGGGGAAAAACATACTCATTACAGAGGGGTGGTAGAGAGATGGCTCAGTGGGGGAGAGCACTGACTACCCTTCTACAAGTCCTTGGTTTGAGTCCCAGAACTCACACAGCAGCTAACAACCACCTGTGACTCCAGTTCCAGGGGATATGACCCTCTTCTAACTTCTGTAGGCACTGCACACGTGGTACACAGACACAAGACACATATATGTGTAACATAAAAGTAAATCAATCTCAAAAATATTTAATTAGGTAAATTACCATTGGGGGAAACTGGGCACTCCTAGAAAGAAGAGAATGCTGTGATGGGGTTAGGACTGATCCTAACTTGGCTGGATGTGAGGCGCCTCTAGCTACTTCTAGGTGTCTGTGACACTGACAGATCACAAAGACTCTTCTCTCACACAGGTTAACCCCCTGATGGATTTCCTGAGAAGAGAGGCAGAAGAGCAGCCTAGCTGGAGGGAGGAGGACACATGCTTGAGCTCTGCCATCCCTGCCCGCTTCCTGCACTGCTCCTTTCTGTCCCTGTTTGCAATAGGTTGACATTTTCTTCACAAGCTCCCACCACAATGTTCTGCCTCATAACAGGCCCAGAACCAATAAAATAAGCCATACATATAGGATCTCTCAAACAGGGAGGCAAAATAAGAAACTCTTTTCTTATACTGTTTTCTCAGGTATTTTGGTCACAGTAATGAGAGTGTTAAGCGAAACAAATGTCTAGGACTTCTAGGTTGCACTCTCTAGTTCTTCTAAATTAAGTAAAAGAAAGAAACACCAGCGTTTCCTCTGATATTCAGCCAATTCTACCACACGATAGGTTCAATGAAAAGCACATGTATTAAACAAGCATTAAAGAAATGACCACACACAGAGGACAGATTAATAATATACTCATCTATGTTTTGAATAAGCACGGTTATAACTCTGGTGAGGAAGCAGATCTGTGAGTCAGTCATTAAATCTTGAGGTACTTGCTACAAGGATTAGAACACAGCACAAAAGAAGCAACCTAAGATGCCACTCGGTTGGTTCTGACACTGTCTTCAGCATCTGCAATGCTATCACTGCTACAAATTACTGAGCATTATGATGTGTGAGGTTGCACTCATGTACTTACATATCCCTGGAACAGAAGCTATGGATGAGACAATTAAACAGGAGGCAGGGAAATGTTCTATTCACTGTTACTCTACTAATAACTAGTCAAGCTAGAACTTAAAACTGGGTCATCTGGCCAGAGCTGGCCTCTCTCGGGTCATTTATAAAACAGGTAGTGGCATGATGGTTAATTTTGACCATCAACTCCATAGGCTTGAGAATTGCAACAGAAGCAACCCTTGGGAGCTCCTAGATTGGGCTAACCTAGGCACAATGACACATGCTGGAGGACATGCTGGAGTTCTGGACTCAACAAACTGGGAAGGGTGAGATGAGCACCAGCATTTCTCTCTACTTCCCAAATGCCAGTGTTGACCTCCACATCTATGTCATGTACCCTTGCCATGATGAACAATACTCTCACATCGTCAGCCAAAATAAGTGTTTCTTTCCTTGAGTTGCCTTAATCGAATGTAGTGGCAAATTCAGGGCATCTTGATAGCATATTACAACATGCATTCAAATGACCAGGACACCATGTTCAGGTAGGCAGTCCTTCCTGGATTTCTACTCTCCACCACACAAACTTGAATGTGGTGAGCAAATCTATATCACCAAATCCCTACAGTAAAAACGAGAAGACTGCTAGACAGGAAGCACAGGTAGTTTTCACTCATCACCAGAAAGTTAATAAGCTAGCCCTCCTATCAAGCCTGCCTAGAAGAAAGTTCACCAGGGGTCATAGGGGCGAGCAGTACCTTCAGTCCCTCCAGTTCATTTTCCAGTTGTTTGGAATAGTGTTCGCTCTGCTCACGCAGCTTCCTGTCCTTTGATGCTTCAGCAATTAGAGCCTCTGTGTGAACTTCCAGCTTCAAAATAAAAAGGGCAGAATTCATGGTTAGTTTTCAAAGCACCTTTCCCCCAAGAAAATGTACAACTCAAATGGTGAGATTCACACTAGTTTATAGTACCAAGCTACAAAATCAAAACTTAAAGAATGGGATGCACATTACTTCACTAGTCTCTAAGTGAGTTACAGTACTGCTCCACAGACACTATGGGATCGGCCTGGCTACTGACCTCTTTCTTGGCTCTCTCTGCTCTGCGCAGCTCTTGCCTTAAGCTCTCAGCTTTTTGCACCACCAGGTCCACCTCTTCTTCCTTATCTCGGACATGGCGAGCAAGTTTCTGTTTTTGGGTGTGCAATTCTGTTAGTCGCTCATTGATCTCCATGAACTCCTGCATGGCCAGTTTCCTCTGACAGTGTGCGTCTTTCAGCTCTTTGGATTGGTTTTTTAATCGCTCACTAGCCTGGACTAGTTCCTACAGTTTTGTAAAAAGAATATAGTTACCAACTCCGCAACCTGAACACCACATTTGGCCATGAAAGTAGCTATTATTAAGTCATGAAGGGCCAAAATTATTCACCCCAGGACAATGCTAGAGGAAATGGATTACTCCTAAAGACACAAAAGGAATGATGCCTTCTCAAACTCAGTTTCAATATTTATTTTTATTTATGTGTATATGTGTCTAACCTGTATTACATATGTGCACCATGTGTACACAGAACCCGTTGAGTCCAGAAGCAGGCATAAGAGCCCATAAAACTGAAGTTATAGACAATTGTTGGCTCCCACATGGGTGCTGGGAACTAAACTCTGCAAGAGCAGCCAGTGTTCTTAATCAGTGAGCCTTCTCCAGCACCAACCCTCAAATTTTTATGCTGACATGAAAATGCAAAGAGGCAGGTGAATAAGCATAATGTAAAAAATATAAACTATGGTGTTCAAAATAATTTGTAAAATGTAATAAATATTTGGGAGATTTTTAAAATTAAATTGGATAATTGCAAATAATAAACAAGAAATAGTCTCTTTCCTCTTCCTGAGAATAGCCCCAGGCTAATAACAAAGAGAAATATTCCTAAATCTGAGATTACTGCTTTAGAGGTGTTTTGTAGACTCAGGTCAGTGCAACTGGAGAAAGAAACTTCAAGGAAATTTGGGCTTATTCACACATTAACAGTGAATAAACATGATCCCACATCTATAGATTCTCAAAGAACCAAAGGACAGAACCACTATAAGGGATCAACGGCAACAATAGAAAACAAAAATAAACACCAGAAATATTTGGGCACAATTAGAAACTGGCATAAGAGTGATATGTATGAGAATTTGGAAGAAATAAAAGAAGTTATAATAAAAACTGGAAAACAAGAAAAATTAATAAAAACTATCACACAGGGTTATTAAAGTATCTGCAGGACATTTAGACATTAAAGAAATATGCATCAAAATTAAAAAGCATGCACATATATAATATAGGAAACTTAATATTTATGAAGCAAGAGAAAGAAATTTAAGCCTAAACCCAGAAATGTATAAAAATGAAACTGGATAACACTACAAACGTAACAATCTCCAAAGAAATTTGGAGGCTGGCAAGATGGCTCAGCAGTGGAGAATACTGGGTGGTCACACACAGGGCTGGGCTCACTCACAGGGCTGGGGTCATCCACAGGGCTGGGGTTACCCACAAGACTTCCAGCTTGACTTCCAGCACCCATGTAGGACAGCTCACAACCATCTCTAACTCCAGTTCCAGGAGAAATTATGCCCTATTATAGCTTCCTTGGGCATACAAATAGTGCCAACAAAACACTCATACATGTAAAATTAAAAAAACAGATAAAGGAACAAAGAGTTTGGGAGGCCAATGAGATGGCTCAGTGAGTAAAGGCGCTGCTTTTGATCCCCAGGTCCTGCAAGATGGACATAACTCACTTCTGCAAATTTCTAATCTGCCCTCTATGCCCAGGCCACAGAAAGTGCACACATATGCATACAGACACATGTGCATACATACACAGGCACGCACACACACACAAATAGAATACATTTTTTAAAAAAGAAATTTGGGATGGAAGTAAATCATTTGTATTCTACTCTCAGAAAAACAAAACTAGATCATAAAACTCAGAAGAGATAAATAGTAACAGGAAGAGTGGAAAAACACTCAAAGAGGCAAGAAAATGATGCAGTATACTCAGAAAAATTACTTCTGAAGTATAGCAAAAACTGACAGTGCTTACCACCAACAGATCTATATTAAATAAAACTCTATACCTTCATTTCAGGAAAAGGAAAACAGTTTTAGAAGATAATGGGCACACAAAGGACTAAGAGCCTGGTACACATGGATGTAAAGAAATGTGTACAAATTTTTTTTTGTTTTAAATATCTGATTCATAGTTACTAGTAATTATACATATTAAGTGTCTGTGGGGACCACACATAAATTGGAAGGAAGTAACAGAATTAAAGGACCTTAAGAATTTTGGTGACTAGTTCAATATATTTAGAATTTGTTAACAAGCATAGTAAAATTCAAATGCAAACACCCAAAGACCAGAACTAGAAGAAAGTAAAGCATGAACAAGAAAACAAAGAATAAGTCATGATTTAGTAAAACAAAAAGAATTCTGGAGACTGGTTTCTTAGCAATACACACATACTCAACGCTGATGAACTATGCCTCAAAACGGTTAAGATGCTATGCTACATGCATTTTAGATACAATTATATTTTGTTAAAATAATGATACAAAAGAAGCACAGTATGGCAAATACAAGGGAAAAATGAAACAGAAACGTGCATATACATTAGTAATCAAAATAGATACAAAGGGCCAAACTCACCAGATAAACAAACTCTAGACCTTAGCAGAAAAGCATTGTTAGGAATACATTACTAAACAATCACAGAACTCAAAAGAACAAAAAAGCCAATCCATTCTATCATTTAGTGAATTCTGCAAGGTAGTCTTAAAGCACATTGAGAAGAAATTGCCTGAAATAGATGATAACATTAGAAAATATATCACCAATCAACTCAATGAGAATTTCGATTTCCTAACCATCAATTATCAACAAGGCAGAACAGTGACTATAAAAACAACCTAAAATAGAGCCCATGCCTATAAACCGAGCTACACAGCCATCCATGGGGTAAAGAAAGGTATTTGGATAAAAGTAAAAGCCCAGAGACAAAAGACAGACAGGATAATTTTTAAAAGCTGCCAAAAAACAAGCCAAGCTAAGGCTGGGCATTCTTAGAAAATAAGAAGCCTCCATGTATTTATTTGGGAGCCAGGTGGCAGGCCCCCCAAAAGAGTCAACAAGTAGAAAAAGAAAATCCAACTACAGGAAACAGTCTGAAATAGTAAGGAAAAAGAGGGTGGATTTCAGAGTCCACATAAGAAATAGAGAACCTTCCAAGTAACAAGAAAAGTACAGTGTTTCACTCATTCTCAGACTAGCATGATCTTATATTAAAAACAGTCAAGAAAAGTAAAAGTGTAGGCTAACTTAATTCATAGAAAGTGATTTAAAAACCTTATTATGAGCAAATCATTTCCAGTAATGTATAAAATCTCTAAACAGGAGCTTTTGAGTTAGACGCAATATATACAGAAATGCTAGCTCTACCACTTATCACCAATAACCCTGAGCAAGTTGACACCTCAGGATTCAGTCTCAGTGTTAGTCAAACAGGAAAATTAAAATAATACATAACTCATGGGTTGTTGTGAAGATGAGACAACATTTTATATATATATGGTGTGTGTGTGTGTGTGTGTGTATGTGTGTGTGTATATATATGGATGGCACTTAAAACAGTGTTATTAAACAAGCTACATAAACATGACCTATGCTGTCATACTATTGTTAGAAAATGATATATGGGTAATTTTTAATTAAAATGTTTTTAATAATAGAAATACTCTGTTAAAATAATTCACCATACAAAGTTTTAAAGCAGAATCGTATGAATGGTGTATATAGAAATGAACTCTGTGTAAACTCAATACTTATTAATAGTAAAAATTGAGTAGCAAAATAAAAATAGAAAGTAATTCCCTTAACCTACTGAAAAATATTTTATGAAAACATATAATAATAAAAATTATAGTAAAACATTAGTAGTAAAAGTTCAGGGCGTTTTCTTTAAAATCATTGACAGGTTGGTGCCTGATGTTACTATTTCTATTCTTTATTATTCTGAGGTCCCAGCTAACACAGTAAACTTACAGAAGATGAGAACCATAATAACCCCAAGTTAGAAACAAAGTAGTTATTATTTACAGAAAATTTTGAAAAAAAAAGCCTAAAACATATCCTGTTAATAAGAGTTCAGCAGTGTTAGATAAGAACTGCTAACAAAAGCCAGGAAGAAAACAAAAAGCTTAAAAATATTTAAAATATGAAATAACAGAATAACAATTTAAAGAAAGACAATTTCAAGAAAGAGCACATTTTGGTTTTTGTTCATTCTTGTTATTAATTTGGTGATTCATGGATCCTAGGTTGACCATAAATACTAGGTATTCAAGGACAGCCTTGAATTTCTGATCTTGCCCACATCTCCCTTGTGTAGGGACTACAGGCATCAACATGTCTGTTTAGCCCTGTTCAATACTGGGAACTAAACACAATGCTCTGTGCACACCAGGCAAGCACTTTACCAATTGAAGCACACTATAAAATTTAAATAACTTTAAATATATGGATAATTAATACACATTGGTGTATTAGAAGACTGTGGCACTGGGCAGAACGGCTTTTGTGTTTTACACAATTACCCCACCTAAACAAATGTCATTGAACCTTGGGGCCTTCCCTTACATGTGAACCATACAAAGTAATTCATACTGAATTCAATAGTGGGAAAATATATTTACCCTCTGGAGGATTTCAAGGTGAGGCTGTATGTGCCCTGGATTATGGGGACTTCCTTGGGAGGCTGGTTTTCTGGGTCTTAACTTAGAATACTTAATTTTTATTCCAAAGGCACAGAGAAGAGGTCAAGACATTTCTCTTCAGACTTCCTAGGAAACTCAGGAAAAAAGAGAAATGGAGAGCAGTATGGCCCTTTTCTTCTATATTAACATCTGGATAAACATGTTGGAGGTCCCTCTTCTGTAGTACAGATTCCTCACTTGAAGGGCTGTATCCAGTTAGTTCTCAGAATTGTGTAGGAGATAAAAAACTGATGTTATCTACTGAACACAAATGATGACAACAATCTGCTATGCTCTTATTTATGTGCATATTCAAAATAATAAAGGATATACATGAACTTCGATACTATGTAATACAGTGAATTCTTCCATAATTGATCAGTGACGAAAGTTTTCAAGGGACATATACTAAGAGGGAATTTGTTATATGATGGAGATACCATTGCACAACCGAGGAGAGAACAATATTCTGTTCACGAGTAACTGGTTAACTATATTAGAAAGAGAAGAACTAAATATTTTCAGTCAGGTAGTCAGGTGTTAGCAGGTTTGGAGTTTAATAGGAATGAACCCCTCTCTCACAACCAGTAGCAGGACTTTTGATCACTGGTCAAAAAATGAGGTCCGAGTCATATTTCTGGCCCTGGTTGGGTGGATGCACATTCAGAATTTACAAGGCTTTTGCCTGGCTGAAGCCCTTCTCAAAAATAACAAGTATATATTACCATTCTCTTCCACAAGAGCCAATCCAAATGGCCCTATCAGACACCTGGATATGAAAACACCCTTCCGAAAAAGCTGTTCAAAAGACTTCAGAAACAGTAAAAAGTCTGCCTAAGCGTAGGCTGACACAATGGCCTCTCTGACCACTGTCAACTCTCATTCCTTGAGAATATGCTTTGTGCTATAATAAATTCTACCTATTTTCTACCCTATGCTGTGTGTCTCTCTCTCATAAGGACACAGGGACCAAAGGAAACACTGAGTAACATCCCAGTGATGACATGGTAAGCAAAAATGAATTTCTAGTGTTTACAGACATAAACATCAAAGATTAAGCTTTAAGAATTAAGAATAAAATTTAGGAGATGTTTTTTAAAACCTCTGACTTCTTAATAGTATATGAGCCAGCAAATGCACTATTAAGTGTATTGTCAAATGTATGTTACACTTTCAAGTTCTGATTAGGCAGAGAGTAAATAGAAAAGCCACTGACAGGTATCTTTAACCTGCACATTTAGTGAAAAATGTTGGAAAATTCAAGAATTCTTATAAACAACAAAGACAACCAGACAGAAAAATATGTAAGCTTTTAAGGCAGTTTGTAAAAGAAATAACATAAAATGATGAACAGACATGTAGCTAAGGATACATGGCCATTTAAAAAATAGACAAATTCAAATTAGACTACAAAGAAACATGGAGTTGAACCAAAATCACAATAAGGATGAGATTGACTAAAAGAAATAAGCACAGCATATGAAACCATCATTGAATGCAGAAACGCCTGTACCATAAAAAAGAATGTAAAAATCTGTACTAAATGAAAGAATACAAAAACTGGAATACAGGAAAACATTTTGGCATTAATATAAAAATAAAATATTTGCAAAACTAATTAAAAGTAAGCAGAGAACCTAAGTGTATAGTGCTCCAAGGAAGACATACAAAAGTCAACAGCCACATAAATAGATATTCAAGGTAAACTAATCACCTCAGAAATGAAAAATCAAAACCAGGATTAGATATCATTTTAAAACTGTCAGAATGGTTATTACAAAAAAGATGGAAGAAAATAAGCATGGTTAGGATGCAAGGAAAATGAAATGTTTTTCCTTCTGCCAGGAGGCCATTAACCAAATCACTTATTATTTTAATATTACACCTAACTGGTATAATGTTTCTTTTCAACACTAATGTCTTATCAAAATATACTAACAGTGAGCACTAAAATGTACTAAAACTGACAAAAAAAACTTGTTTATAAGAATCAAGATAGTGGATTTTTTTGTTTACTACATTAACTAAATTTGGCTGTATAATACTAATGATACACACAAACTCACCAACCACTAACATTACTACATTATAAAAGGAAAGAGAACTGCTGTCATATGCCAAGCGCTATTATACTGCTCCTGGGTTTAGATGGACCTGCACAACCCAAACTCACAACTGCAGTAAGTAGATAAAAGTGTGCACATCTAATTCAGCCTCATCTATAAGAGCACCCTCATCAGCATAAGGGCATTTTATTTTAATTCCATTTTCTTAATGGTAGGTAGCAAGACTTAAAATTCACCCCCAGAATGACTTCATTCTACATTAATCAGTATTTTTTACATCTAATCATTAAATACAATTCATTCTGTGCCAGAAACTACTATTTCTCAGAGGCATTGGCTGTCATTAGTCCCAAATTTTTTGTTGTCGTTAATGACATTCATAGTACTTACCAACCTGTGGTTCATGTCTTTTCCTACTTTTTTCTATTGGTCTATTATATAATCTTAGTTATAAATAAATTTTGTTGCAATGCTAGTACCATTTAAATGTTACACAAAGTTCTTATGAAAAGGACTAGCTTTTGCTTTCCCATGCTGCTTTGGAAAACAAAATGGCATTTAAAGAATGAATAAATAAACCATGGAGGAGATATTAAATTATAACCTATTAGTGTTCATACCAGCACATTTATAATGAAAATATATAATGAACATATGTGTCAAAGATACATGACCACAATTAAGACTACAACAAAGTATCATTTATGATCTAAAGTCTGTATTTAAAATTTTTATAATCATTACATTCTATTTGTTTTTCATATGTGTTTTTCAGTAATATTCCTTTCTAAGTAAAAGCTTTTAACTTTCCAAATGAACAAAAAGAGTTTTCAACTTTAAAGCCTCAAAAATTTGAGTTTTCTTATATACTAGCTAATGTCATATATCAAAATAATTATTTAAGATGTAGGGGGCTTAGAGATGGTTCAGTGCTTAAGAGTACCGACTGCTCTTGAAGAGGACCCAAGTTCAGTTCCCAACACCCATATTAGACAATTTATAACTGCCTGTAACTCCAGTACCAGGGGATTCAATGTCTCTGACTGCAACAGGCACATTCACTTAATTGTACAAACCCCCATACAGATACACATAGTTAAAAATAAAATCAATTTTTAAGAAATTAAACCATGTAAAACTATCATTTTAGGTTAGCATGCAAATTTCATGTCAAATTTCTATAGAAAAATATCTGTTGTCATTTATTAGGAATACTTCAAATACTCTAATTATAAAAAATGAAACATGTAGAAACAGCTTTGAGGATCTAATCATATATGCGTACCTTATTTAGCTCTTCTCTTTCCTGCTGCAAAGTTTTGATCTGTTTTTCAAAAGCCTTGATTTGCCTAAAAGCATCATCTAGCTCTCGTCTCACAGAATTAGCTTCTTCAAGTTGTTGTTCCAAATGATTCACTTCTGAAAAACAAAAAGTCTTTAATTCAGACATACAATCTAAACAAATGGAAAGTAGAATAAACACATAAATAATATTTATTCAGAACGAGCAGTTAATTTTTATTTTTCCATCTCTTGGATTAAAATATTGATAGTTCTCTTCATTTGAGAAAATTATATAAAACAGATTTACCATATTCTGAATAAGTTGCCAAAGACTATGCAATTGGAAAATTACTGCCAAATAACAGGATCTTTCAAAGTTATTATTAAAATATTTAAACTTATATACAAAAATGAGCCTACATTTATTAAAATCAAGACATAACATTCAACTTGCATAAATTATACACAGTATTTTAAAGACGGTCTATTCTAAGATGCCAGTAATGCAGGCTGTTGGGTTTTCACAGGAGATAGCTATCATTCATATGCCTTCATGTACCCCTTCATGAAGAAAATGTTTATTTTAAGAACAAGTATTTTACTGTGAAATGTTAACAACATACTTTAAAACTTAAAGAAGTAAATATGTCCATCAATATATTCCTTTAGGACCCACCTAAAGAAAGCCAGCATTTCAAATGTTGACTAAAGCGCAATAACCACATTCAAACTTTATTTTCCTCTACACGCAGCATATATAGATAGGAATTTGAATTTCCATTATGAAGCCTACCATACTAATCATTTAAGGATACAAGAAATAAATCACTTGGATAGTCTAGTGCTTCACTAGAAATTATCTACCAACCCCACAAAAACCATTGTTTACTTATAAGCAAGATAAAAACTTTATGATTTTAGAAAGTTGTAACTGAGTGATTTCTTTTCTTCGTCTCATAGTAAAATTCCATTTTGCCTATTTATTTTGACCCATGTCTACATATGTAATTTACCCTTTAAGGAATTTATACATCTTTATACAGAATTCACATCTATATAAACTGCCAGTCTTTTATTATTTTCAGTGCCCTATCAAAACAAGAGTAATAAAAGCCTTCATTATGTGAGGGAAGAATATAATGAAGATACAGTATCTGGAAAGAACATATGGATTCCATCAGAGGGTCACCGTGGTGATCAAGATATTTTGGAAATGGCAACCCATATCTGGTAATTTTCCCCCTCATTCCAGGTTCCATGATACAATTTACCATTTACCAACACAGATGGGCTTCTTTTGTCATTGTTGGTCCATTAATTGAGCAGCCACCAGGGCTGGTTCTTGGTTAGTAGAGATGGAGGCAGGGCATAGCATTTGGATGCCCAATGCCAGGGCAATAACAGAGTTTAAAAACTGCATTATACATAATAAAACTTTCACTGAGAAAACAAAATAACCTTTATGTTTCATACAAAAGTATTAAAAGAAGGCATAATTTTCCCTTTTTCATTATATAGACATTCTCTCTATCTATCTATCTATCTATCTATATATTCTGTTATCTGGTACTAGAAACTGATATAGGCACTAGACATACAGTAGGAAAACAAGTGTTGCTCAGCCTTCTGAGAATTTAGCATATATTTTCTAAAAAGCAGATATTAACAAAACCCTAGAAATCACAGATTTTAATTTTTTCTAAGAAGTAGAAGATATGGCTATAAGGAAGTAACATATGAAGTCAGTCATCAGTTGGTAGGTGTCTTGTATGCACAGAACCTGACCAAGAAGGGTCTGAGGACATTACGGTGAGGGTTCTCACACTTTTCTCCTTCAGGGCCAAGCAGGTCTTGAGGGGACTGGCATTTACCTCTAGCACTAATGTAAAATTATTTAAGTAGCTTGAGTCTAACAATGAATGAGGTATAGCTATATTTTCAATTTTACCACCATACTCCAGTGCCCAATACAGTCCCTAGAAGCCAGCAAGTAACTTACATATGCTGAATAAAGAATGAAACTGTCATAATTTGATCTTTTTTGTGTGGTGAATAAGAGAATAGAAATGTATCTGACAGTGAAAGACCAAAGCCCCAAATGAAGTTCTAAGGCTTCACAATGGCTGGCCTAACTGTATATGAACTTACCCAGATGGACAGAGATTGGGACTGCTCCAGTGGCTTCTTTAAACTAGTTGTGTGATGTTAATTAGGACAAAGCAAATTTATTTAATTTTCTTAAAAATTGGATGTTAACAGTGAAAATGAACAACTGTACCGCTGCTATGGTAAGTGGAACAGGGATCCTTTTGAAAAAATAAAATAATATATGATGCACAATTTCACTACAGGGTATATACCCCAAAACAGTAATAACAGGAACTTGTCCAGAAACTTTAAGTTTGTGTTCATAACTACATTATTACTCATGGCCAAAAGGCAAAGGCAACCTGCATGTCCAACAACATATGATGGTAAAAGCAAAATCTAGCATATGAATATAATGGAATATTGCTCAGCTTTTTAAAATTAGGAAGTGGACATTTATAATGTAGATGGGGGTAAGTCCTTCTGTACGCTGTGAATATATTCTTATTGGTTTAATAAAATGCCGATTGGCCAGTAGTCAGGAAGAAAATTTAGGCAGGGCTACCAGACTAGGAGAATACTGGGAAGAGGAAGACAGTGAGTGAGTCCCCAGGGAGATGCTATGTAGCTGCTGGGAAGATAGGACACCAGGAGTTTTCCGGTAAGCCAAAACCACATGGAGATACACAGACTAATAGAAATGAGTTAATAATTAAGAGAGAGCTAGCTAATAAGAAGCCTAAGCCGCTGGTCAAACAGATAATAATCAATATAAGTCTCTGTGTATTTATTTGGGACTAAATGGCTGTGGGTCCTGGTAGAACAGAAACTCCATCTATAGATCATCCTTGAGAACATTACACTAAGTGAAATAAGCTAAACACAAAACAATACTGTGTAGTTCTACTATATGAAGTTTCTGAAAGAGTCAAATTTATGGAAGAATAAAGTAGGGGCCTGAATTAGTTAAAAAAAATAGCTATTGTTCCTATTTTGAAATGATAAAAAACAGATGGTGATGACAGTTGTACAAAATGTGAAAGTGCTCAATATTTCTCAATGAAGTATTAAAAGCTGTTAAAATGGTAAATTTGGTAGATATATTTTACCACAATTTAAGAAGTTAAAAGGTGATGCAGGGAGGAAGGAAAGAAACGAGGAATGGAGGGAGGGGGAGGTATTGGAGAAATGGAATGAAAGAGAATACAAGAGTGACTATTTTAACATACCCAAACACAAAACCCTGTAAAGTAAGAACAAGTTCAAAACAGGAGGACTAACCCTTTTTCTTAACAGCATTTTTTTCCCCCTGATTTTACTGATTTTATTCTCCCATTGGGAAAAGACTTTTGAAAATCTGAGTCAAGAGCAGCCTGGCAAGTGTGGGTTTTAGAAGACAATGGGAATGAAGGAAAGGAAGGAAACTGGGAGGAGCTGGTATAACAATTTTCCCAAGATAGGATGATACGCTCCATGAGCTATGAAGAGAATGAAGTTTGTTAGGTGTGCCTGTACAAATACAATGAGACAGAAACCTTTGGAAAAGAGTAGAGACGGTTTCAAAGAAGTGATGTATCACTTATTCATCAACAAATACTGATTTGGGCCTTTAATGAGTCAAGTATAATCCTATAGGTACTTGGAATACTCTAGCAAAGACAATGACAAACATAAATCAATTTAAACCTCCTATTTCCAAAGAGCTTGTGCTCTTGTGACGAGAGGAAGACAATGTGCAGACACAAGTATGTTAATGATGAGACATTATGGACAAGTAGAGGGTTATGAAACAATGTTTCCAGCAAATGAACAAGCACACACAGACAGGACAGACAGATGGTTAACAGGTAGACAATTGAAAGGAGAGAAATGAAATGGAAGGAGGAGGGACTCATGTATGAAGCATAAGCATTACATGGGATCTAGAAATAATTCCACATGGGTAGAATCAGGGTATAATAAAGGAAGTAGTTACTAAAAATACAGCTGAAGAGAAAAACAAATGCATGTCAATGAAGGACTTCTAATCAGTATTGAGAAATTCTTACTTTATCCTACAGGCAAGGAGAAGCCCCTGAAAACACATGCATGCATTTTGAAGCTGTGTCCACATCTTAAAAAGGTAACTCTGGTGACTTCTAATTTTTGGGAAAGAGAATTGATATATTTCCCATTAAGAACAAATAAAAACCCTGGATCCTATATTTAAAAATGAATAAATGCTCAATGAATACGTAATCAAGAAGACTATGATATAGCGTGTTGAGACTATGTAGAACTAGCTGAGAATTAGCTGGGAGTAAAGGTAGTGAGCTCCCAGGTTTTCTTTTCAGGCATCCCAGAATTGGACCTTAAGGAGATGGCAACCTAGAAAAGTCAACGTGTATAAGGGAACACAGCCCCCAAATCCTGGTCTTTTTAGCCAAAGGACCAAGAAAGGGCAGTCACAGACTCTATTAGTGAGGGAGAAGACAGGACTCTTATGCAGAATAAGAGAAAAGAACTGTGGAAAGAACTGCAAGTTACTCTCATATGTTTTAGAGAGAACAGCAGCTGGATTTAAAAGATTGTTATGTGATATTTTATTTGGGTTCTGACAAATAAAGCTTGCCTGGAGAACAGAGGGTGGAGCTAGTCTCTAGTTAACCATAGAGTTCTGGAGGTCTGTACAGACAGACAGGAAGTGATAAGATGGGATGGAGAGAGGATCTCAGCCTTTTCAGTCTGAGGATTTTGAGAGGCAAGAAGTCTCTGGTGGCTTCTGCTTTGCTTCTCTCATCTTTCTGCTTTTACCCTGATATTCAACTCCATGTTTTCATTGATAAGACCAATTAGGATCACACTTCAGAAGATTAGGGGTTAAAACCATAGAGTCTGGAACACTAAGGAATATTAGTTAGAAGATGTGCATCCTGGTGTGAGACAGCCAAGCATACCTGGTAAGAGACAAATAGGCCAATGATGGCAGGCCAGCTGGCTAACTTCCATAGGACCTTTCTCCTTTGGGAAAAAAACTGCAAGGCACTATTACTTATTCTTTCTTTGAATACATTGTTTGAAATGCCAATAGCTTATAATAGACTATAATAAGAAAGAATGGTTTCTAAAGTGCTAGACCTATTTTGGGAAAGAAACTCCAGACCATCCTAAAGATAAAGAGCTAACCAGTAACACTGTAGCTACTTTTTAGTGGCTCTGAAAACAAATACAACTTAATATAATGAACGGTTAGCATTGTTTATGTACAAAAAAGGATCTATCTTTAATTTCCAGTGGGATGAGACAACAATGGGAGCCATAAGTGCCTGACATCTTTGGTCTTTGCATCATGTTAAGTGACCATGAAAGGTTCTGTCATTCTCCAAAATCATTAAAACCAGAAAAATATAACAAAACAATCTTAAATAACTACTGTTGTATTAGACTTAAACATCACAGAAACCCCATGACATGGAGGTGTACACCTTTAATCCCAGCAGAGAATAAATTGGGAATTAGATTTCTGTTCCACTTGGCAATGACAAGATGTTGGTGTGCCTATGAACCACAATAATGAGTAGTATGCAAGACATTCCTAAGTGTGAAGTAGTGGTGCTTACACATTCATCACAAGTGCCCAGGGAAGATAACCATATATTAGGCATAAAACAAACCTCAGTGTGGTAATAGTTTGTTTATGAAGTTCAGAGCGCAAAGCTAGCCAGAACCATAGAGCGAGGCAGTGGTGATGCATACCTTTAATCTCAGCAGCCATAGAGCCAGGCAGTGGTGGTGTACACCTTTATCCCAGCACTCATGAGACAGAGACAGATAGATCTCTGAGGTCAAAGACACCCCTGGGCTACATGAGATAGAATCAGTCTAAAAGAGAAACAGAGCTCACACCTTTAATCACGGCACTAGGGAGGTGGAGACAGGAGTGATATGGCTGGAGAAGGCAGGAACTGATTGCAGTCTAGGCAGTCTGGGGAGCAGTGCAGTTTAGAGATGCAATCAGAGGACACTATCGCCTCCTCATTCTGAGTATTGGTAGAGGTGAGAACTCTCTAGTGGCTGGCAGCTTCGCTTCTTTGATCTTAAGCTTTAACCCCAATATCTATCTCTGGAGTTTTTATTATTTGTGCTATACCTCAACAACTCTAAAAGAGCTGAAATAATGAGGGGTATTACAAAACTGATTAGAGAAATATAGAAGTTAATTTTTCAAATACTCAAAAGTAAATGACATACTTCTCAATTTGAATCAAAGTGAAAAAAATTTAAAACATCTGAGGTAAAATGAAATTACAAATTAAAATTCTGTAGGGCACAGTAATGTCAGTACTAAAAAAGAAAATGATATCCCTTGATATACATGATTTGACATTTGGCGTTTTTATATGTGCTATCTCTTGTCTGCAGCAACTCTTCTCTTCTGCAAACCTCACATCTACTTCCCATTCATATATGCAATTTTCCAGACAAATTCTGAAAAAGATGTGTTAATCATCTTTGGTCTCTCTGGGCAGGTGTGCCAGCTACGTGTTCTCTATGCACCCTTTTCTACTTGACTTAAAGGCCCTTCAACTGTGTGGCGATGGTGACTCACATATTTACTTTTCAGTTCAAATTATGAACTTCATGAAACCAGGACTAAGATTTATTTGCCTTTTCTTCAGTGTCATATAATTCATAACACATAACATCAACAAGACTCAGTAGACAGTTATGTGTGAGTAAAACCATTTCTTAAAATCCACTAAACTAATGATGAACCTCAGCAAGTCACCTGATACTTGTTTCCTTAGCTTTTCAATCTCTTCCTTCAGGCTTTTAATTTCTAAGTCTTTGCTTGCCGTTAGTGGACCATCAACAGTTGAATACTGCAGAGCTTGAACAGTCTGCGTTGACTCTGAAAAGAAAGAAAGAACTAAAGAATGAAAATCAGAGACTTAAATTTTTTAAAACTAATGTCAACATATCTCTACACACACAAAAAAAATTTTAATAGCTCCACTGTTCAGAACATCTACTCATTGAAAAGGCTTAAGAACACCTTAAAGCATACAGTTTCATTGCATCTGTTTACAGTTTGTAAACAAGATCTCCAAATAAATATACTTTCTAATTCATGAGATTTGAGGTGTACCACTGACCAATCAAGACAAAGAATTAACTATTCAGACTTTTATGTTTCTCTCCTAGCAGAGACCATCATCTTGATATTTAAAAAAAAAAAAACCACATATCATATAACATATGAAGAACTGAATAAGACATGAAGAAAGATTTAGATGTACTTTACATAGTGTGTACACATGGAGACCTTGTGGATTTTATATAGGAAATTAAAGAATCAGCTACAGGTGATTTGGCTTTTCAATTTAATTAAAACGTTTGATATAAATAGAGATCAATTTATCTTAAAGTTGTATGTAGAAGATGAAATGTATTAAGCAATATGAACACTATAATAAGGCTTATTTCCCGGGTGTTAGCAAAAGACAAATAATAATTTATATCAGAAATAGAACCACCCTTTGTCCTAAAAACAGCTTTTCTGCTATTGATGAAAGGGATCTTGGTGAATTAGCACAAATCACACACATGATAAAATATGTCACCATGCTTACATGAATGGCCATTGATAAGCACTTTTTAGCTCGAATGAAAAATATAAGATATACTACATCATACATCTGATCATAACCTCAGTATCTAAGAAGTATTTTATTCAGTATTAACACTGATCCTGTTGTGTTTATTTGGAAAAGAACATCCACTGTTTTATTTAAAAGACACTTATATTCGAGACTTGGAAGACAGCTTAGTTAGCAAACTTTGCTTTGCCCAAATACTATATATAACTCATGTGTAACAACATTCTCTTAGAAAAATTAAAGAATTCAGACATCAAAACCATACCAAACTCTGGGGTATAGAAACCTCTCATTTGTAATGAAATGGAACAGATATGGTTATTGCTCTACTGTTCCTTTTTAAACAAGTGAAAATACACTACATAATTTTGAAATATAAAACTGAGCACTTAAAAACTGTTACGGAAGTGCAAAAGCAAAAACCAAGTAAGATGAAACAGAGGAGTGAGCTGTTCTGGGATGAATGGCGGTCTCCATGGCTCTAACCCGGAGCTCTGTCCAAGTTGGAGCTTGACCTAAACTAAGGAACATTTTTAATATTTGTTTGCCTGTTTGTTTTTGAGGAGTGTTACAGGTGTTAGTACACATGCCATTGCACTCATGTAGAGGATATAGGACAGTCTTCGACACTCAGTTATCTCATGAGTTCCAAGGATTACCCTTGACTTATTAGGCTTGTCACAGGTGCCCTTTCCCACTAGGCCAGCTTGCCAGCTCCTAAAACTGAGGACTATAATGCTGAATAAACCTTCTGGAGAATGTGGGGGTAAGGAACTAGGACACTGTTTAGAAAAGGCATTCTCTATTAGTAAGCATATTTGCATCAAGTCAGGACAGTCTCCTCACCAAGATGCTTACTTATTACTTCCACATTTGGAAGTGGTAAGGGGGGAGGCTGAAGAAAAGAACAAATCTCCTTTAGTTACAAGTAAAGGAGAAAGACACCCTACCAGGCTCTATCTAATCCTCCCCTCACTTCTGATAATAGAGGTGGATTGAATTAATAAAAATTACTATCCAACCTTGTTAAGACCCAATTACTGATTGGATGAAGAGTGGGAAAACATGTTCTGGAACAAAAACAGTATTAACTCAATTGTCTTTTATTTTCACTCATATCAGTCACACAATTTAAGTTACAAGGCATTTGGAACAGCAGGAGAACATGACCAACAAAGAGAAAAAAAGCAGCACACACACAGACAACTCAGATATAGAAATCAACAGACACTAAATGAGGAACAAAACACAAGCATAGGAGAGGAACACAGGAAACGGGGGCATTCTTACAGAAACACAGCAAAAGCCTCAGAACAAAAGCATGAGGGAGCAAGAGAAATACCATCACTGCTCAGTGAGAAAGGAGGGTTAAAAACAACTATGCAGCATTGACTGATTATGGGGCTCTGTGAAACTGAGTAGACTAGGGAAAGATCAAAATCACTGCAGAAAAGAACTAAAAAAGAAAGAATGTTAACGTGCACTTTAAAATCATCACAAAGTACATGTGTAAGGACTGATCATGTATGATGTGAAAAGGCACTCAAGTGTCATGTCAGGGTGAGAAGGGTACTTTTTTCATGACAACTCCACTCTCCCAACCCCAGAGGTGTTCTATTTATACATTTACATGTACATATGTATACCTATAGAAATACACATTGTTGCATTGTTTACTATTGTGTAACGTTTACATAAATGACATTATACTCTTTTCTGCATACATTTCTACAACTACATTTTTTTTCCCACTTACAAAAAGACTCCTTCTGAAAATAAACCCTGGTAATGCAGCTCAAAACACTATGAGATCAATTCAAATGAGGAAAATATTAAAATATGTACCTTGAAGTTTTCTAGTAAGTTCAAGCTTTTCCTGTTCCAGCCGCTTAATTCTTCTTTCATAAGCTTCAGTTGCTAAGTTATTATCTAGAGTCCTCTGGACATTAACATCAAGATCCAGTGAGGTGGGACCTGCTGTCACTCTCAAACAACTCCGGTCAGAAAGAACACTGAATGAAAAAAAAAAAAATGTTGGCTCTTATTGCAATTAAATTTGAAGAAAAAAAAAAGAATTTTAGAATTCATCATATAAGAAACAGATTTGAGTATCTAAAGTAAAACATCTAGGATACCATAGAATGACTATAATTTTTTTCTGCAAAATTACCATAAACCATTTGTAGAAATATTTTAAATGAAAACTATCACCAAATTATCTTTCAATTTAAAACTCCATAAATTATAAAACAAAGTTTACTGAAGGGTTATTAGTAGTTTAAAACAATTTGACAAGTTTGCTGAAACAGTAGTCAAAACCATTTGCATACGTTCATTAATAGAATTTGAAACTCAAAACTTTAAAGTGAGATGCTTCTCTGAATGCACATTAAAGATATTTGAAATGATGGTATTCATCAGTGAATCCCCCCTAGACAAAGAACTATAGCAACTGATGATAGCTAAGAGAGGGAGAATTAGTTTTCCTGAGACATAAACTACCTAATTGCTTATATAAAACCAGGCAGTGAACCCTGAAAGCATATACACACAAGCAGTGCTGAATGTTCTCAGAAAATTATATTTGTGTGTATAAAAGAAAAACAAGTCATCAATTTGAGAGCGAGTGCAGAGGTGAACATGAGAGGAGTTGGAGGGAATGAACATGGGAGAGACTGGAAGGAAAGGGGACAGCATAATGATGTAATCACATTTTAATTAAAAATTTAGATAGACAAAATTATTTGCCAATCATTTAAATTCTAGTAACAGGGATAGAAATAAATGTATGCAAAAATTTAGTACATAGAAAGTGTTAACTGCTAAGGAGAAAATATTAAGTAGGAAAGAGAGGAAAGAAATCTTGAGAGAGAGAAGACAGAAATTTAGAAGGAGTAATCAGGAAAGCTGGGCTGATGCAGGTAGCTGAGGAAAGTTAAGTGTAAGGTACCAGTGTCAGAATGAAGACTGGTCCAGGAACAGAAGCCCAAGCCTCCCAAGACAAGGCATGTGGGCCTTAAAGAGATCTGTGTAAGAGCAGGAACAGAAGATGACTGAGACAGTTCTACAGGGCCTTATAGGAACCACAGTTTATTCTCAGTATACAAAGAAACAGGAACTGGGAATAGAGGGAAATGGCCACAAACAGGGACGAAAGGCTGGCTGATCTCATCCAATGTAAGGAGCTATGGACATATTACACAGACAGCTCAGACAGGTTTTAAAGAAGAAGGCAAAGAGGTCTCATGTCATAGGGAATGTGTGAGGAAGTTCCACGGCTGAGCCCTAGAACACTTTGATATTCAGAAACTGGGGAGAGAAGGACTCAAGTTTGGAGATGGAGAAATGGACACAAAGTCAAATGTTTTTCTATGGATCAGGGGCAAAGGTGAAAAAAGTCAACAAAGACTAGGACTAGAAGTAATCACTACACCTGTTAACATGGCATCAACAGTGGTGCTGGGTAAAAGCAGTACGCATGCAGTGACTGGGGCACAAATCCAAAATGAGTGAATTCAAGAAAGATTAGTATTAAAAATGGACAGTTAAGAGAAGATACTTTGTTACAGACCAAAGAAATAATTGGTATCAGGTACAAGATCCAAAAAGGCTTTATATTTTAAGATGGAAGAAATAGCCACATGTCTGGTACGACGGTTGGCAGGATGTAAGGGTGTGGGGGACACCTATGATATAAAAGTGAACGACATATTAAGCCAAGCAGGAGGGCATGGAAGGAGTCAGCCCTAGCCGGCGTCTTCACAGTCCATCGTTAAGAGGAGTTTGTGAGTCTGGGGAAGGAGAGAAAACAGTGGCAGGGACTTGAAGCTTTGTCTGCAGTTGGTATTGATTATCAGGGATGGAGGAAGCAAAATCATCATCTGAGAATGAGGGTGATTAAATTTGCAAGAATTAAGTATGACATAGTTACCTTGGCACACACAGGGCAGATGATTCCATGTGTTTATCATAAAGAATATGGTCCTCAAAGCTGGTGAACCTCAACATAAGTAAGCCAGGTTGCTAAGAACCATCTGTCTGCCCCAGAAACTTTAAATTGCTTAGATTTTAAACAAAGGATAATCACTCAACTAAGAAAGTCCAGCAGCTGAGAGATAGCTAAAGGGACTGCCATGGCACACAGGAAGTGATTACTATAATTCTTATGGGACATGGAAGGGAGGATCAGAGGACAGAGACAGAGTGAAGAGTAAAGAGTGGCATGAACAATGGGTTGGAAATTTTGGTGCATAGACAGAATATTCATTAAGTGCCTTGGTGCTGGTTCCTGCCCTACCCCAATGGGTTCGACTTGGGCTACTTGTCTCTCATCATATCCTTTCAAATAGTTGGTTCTTGGGTAGTTTATTCTATTTATAATACCAAAATAAGCTTATTCTTTTTTTTCACATTTAAATCCAGCTCCACACCATAACAACCATGCACATACCAAGCTTCAATTTACTTTACATTTTAATAAATTTCTTTGTTTTTGAAACTTACCAGCTACTAGTATATGTAAAACCAACAAATGGCAGATGATGGCCAGAAAATGCAGCATGTGTTGGTGGAGGCATCGTTTCCTAAAAGAAAATAAAAAGAATACCAATCTGGTAAGAAATTTGTATTTATGGCTCATAGGTTGGGCTATAAATCTTAACTGTCATTGGGGATATGCAACCATTCAGTTTAGAAATGGTGGTAAGCTTGGTAGAGATGTTCAGTGATACAAAATGTAGACTATAGGTACTGTTACTACAAAACTCAAACAAATAAAGGTTAAAAGCCTAACAAAGAATGAAATTATAATCATTATTTGTGTGTTCTGTATCTGGCAATTTGTCTAGCTTTGTTTGTTTGTTTTTGTTTTCCCTAGAGACAAGGCTTCACTACATAGCCCAAACTGGCCTCAAACTTATGATTTTCCTGTCTGGCTCCCAAGTGCTGAAATTATAGTTATGTTTCATCACACAGTTTAAAAGCAAAATTCATTTGCAAGTGGGCAATCAATATCCTCAGGGCTTATGTCACTGAAGATGTGTGTAGAGGATGTGCGTTGGCCTTTACTCCTGCTGCCAAGACTAAACGTGGACTACTCCTCTTTTCTCACACTGGAAACAGATGGCCTTGGCACATTCTATAAACATTTGTGTGTCTTTTTGATAGTATCTCTGTGTAAAATAGTTCCCAGAAGTTCTGACTGATAATTGCTTTTATTTTATTTTTCTTAAAGTTTCAAGATAGGGTCTTGCTGTATAGTCCAAGCTAGACATGAACTCATGATCCTTTCCCATCAGACTTCCCGCCAGAGTGGTAGGATTAGAGGTGTGTGATACCATACCTGGCTGTCATCTAATGTTGCAACATAAAAAAAGTTTCTTAACAGAAAAAAACAACATATGTTAGATAAACTGTTTTAGGAGTAAGTTATAGTGCTATTTATTAGACATGAGTTCAGTGCTAATGAATCAATGGCATATATTATTATATAATGTATCTTTAAATAGAAGTACATATAAAAGGTTTTTATATTCAAAGTTGATGAAAATGTGACCAAAGGCTAACCTGACGTTTCTTTAATTTTTGGATATTATAATTACAACATTTCTCCCTACCTTTTCCTCCCTCCAACTGCTCCCATATACCTCTCTCTCCCTACTCTCCTTCAAATTCATTAACCTATTATTTCTACAGGGCAATGGTCAACATCAACTAACTTAGTGTTCACCATAACTGTGTAAAATACAACTACTGTGAATAGTTAAAATCAACTGCATATTCACTTAACTTGGAATGACTCAGAAAAACTGGTAAGGAAAAGCCATCTAATTGCTTTTTGTGAAGTTTAAATAATATAACAGCTCACATTCATCTTGACCATAGTACATGGTGATGATATTTTGTTTATGATTAACAAATAAAGCTTGCCTGAAGATCAGAGTGCAAAGATGGCCACATTAGTCAGCCATAGAGGCCAGATAGTGGTGGCACACACTTTTAATCCCAGCACTCAGAGGTCAGAGGCAAAAGAATCTCTGTTAGTTCAAGACACACTGAGCTACATGAAATTGATCTAGTCTAAAAGAGAAACAGCTCACACAGAGTACTTGCAGTGGCATGCCTTTAATCCCAGCACTAAGGAGGTGGAGACAGGAAGGGATATGGCTGGGAGGAGAGAGGACTCTAAGGTGGAAGGGGGAGCTCAAGGCAGTCTGAAGCAGCAGACTGAGGTTTTGTAGATAGAGTACTCACTCAGTCTGAGGATTCATGGAGACAGGATTGCCCCTTTGGTCTGAGGTAGAGGTAAGAGCTAGTGGCTGACTGCTTTGCTTCTCTGATCTTTCAGATTTCCTCCCCAATATCTGACTTTGGGTTTTTTTTTTTTTAATTATTAATATCGATTAGAATTCAACTAACAGTAAAAAGTGACATAAGATTAATATAAAATTTAGTATTGAACTAAAACCAAAGATATAAAATTATTGAATATGTTAACAGCTTAAAATAAGACTAGAAAAAAATAAAAATTTTAGGTTCTGATTTTCTTAAATTTGAATCTATATAACCTAGTGACTTAGAGCAGTACCAACATAATATACTGGCCTTGTTACAGTCCATGAGCTGAGAGGAGGGAATTATTTGGCTCAGGCAGACATAACCTCAGGTAAGGAAGACTACAGATTGACTTTCCACATTCATTTCCTGCCCAGCTGGCTATTTTAGTGGCAACAATGTGGGTGTTGGGCTTGAGCCTTCCAAATAAAGTCCGCCCGACTGGCAACAAGGCTTTTGCTCCATATTGTAAGCACAACTGACCAGGTGATGGGGTGAGAGGTAGGGGGTGTGGAATGTATGGTTTCAAATAAAGTTCAGTAGTTTTTCATGAATAAATACTTCTTTATTTCCTTTTGGCTATAGTAAGCCCTGAAATATTTTGCCATGTGTTTCCAGTTTCATGGGGGTTTGTTGTTGTTGTTGTTGTTGTTGTGGTGTGTGTGTGTGTGTGTGTGAATCATGAAATACACTTTTTAAAGCATCTGAACTTGTCTTCTTAGGAAACCTACTGACACAACTGTCTAAGGAACAGGTCACTGAATTTTGCTTTTGGTCATGGTTGACTACACTGAATTCAGTAAAGTCTCAATTTTTTTGACACATGACAGTAAGTACTGGAAGTCATTAACTACTGTGTGACTGGTAGGAGAAAAACAGTCCTGATACCAAACTAATAAATAAAAATGCTACTTTATAACCATATTTAAAAGAACCAGAAAGACAGGACATCTTCATGTCATACTTACAGAATTTTTTAAACAGTCATCATCCACATCAAAATTCGATGTATCTGTTGGGCTACTAACTTCTGGAATATAAGGTGCTTCACAGTTTCGAATATTATCCCAATCAATTCCACTGAAAAATGGATGCTTCTTAAAGTCTTCTATTCCATTTTGGCCAAGTCGATGTTCTCGGCTACAAATGAGTCTTCGAATAAGATCCTTAGCATTTTCAGATACATCAGTCACTTGGGGTGGAAACTGAAACCTCTCCTACACAGACAACAACATAAGGTATAAATACAAACCCCCAGCATTCTTACAACATGGTGGTAAACTTGTTTAAACACTTTTCATTTTGAAAAACATCTAGTATTTGATGGCACAGAGAACTGATACTGTGGGGAGCTATGGGGATAATGAGAAATAATTCTGTAAGTGACTTCATGATGGATGAACTACAGAAAAGAGGTCAGTTGCTATAGGATCTTAAGCTGATGTTAAAATGAGATGGATCTGACTAAAAGTAGCAGAATTTAACTCAATAGTTCAAAAGAATGTAGATTATTGATAATGTCCAGGTACAATATAAAATATCAGTTAATCATTAAATGCTTAAAAATGTAACATGTATTTGGCACTATTCAAAGTGATTTACTTATTTAACCATTTAATCCTCACAATAATCACACTGGATAGAAACTACTAGATGACAGTCTAGAGGAAACTGAGGGACACAGTCATTTTCTCAATGCCATACAACTAATAAATTGACAGGAAGGGTCTCGACTGGACCTCTCTTCAGGCCCATGTGGTTAAGCAGATGCTTTACTGAAGTGACTTCCTTCTGAATGGTACACATGCGCTTACAACCTTCAACATCTCCCCATCATTCAGTCTTCATAACTACCTACAGTTCTAGCTTTGCAGCTTGTAGAAGACATAAAATCTCTAAAATAGACTTATATGCATAAAACACCAGAACCAATTAAGAAGTACAGATTATTCTATTTTTCTGAGGACATTCAGATTCACATTGAGGACTTTTACAACTGTTCACAGTTTATTCAGTTCTGCACTGTCTATTTTGTTTCCCTTGGTGATACAGAACTGAATTTTGTGATCCTGTTCCTGCATATAGCTGGATCCAGCCAGTGTTTTGATATCATTAACACTGGGACAGATACTCTATATACACATCTTTGTTCTAGGTATTTCCACGAGGTAGACTTCTAGACCCTACCTTGCTCCATCAAAAGTTCTAACCATCATATTAAGATGGTTGTAACCTGTTAACTTTGTGACATGAAGTTACAACTTGTAGCTCTAACAATGGAACCTGAGGAGTTCCCCGGTTGCTGCCTTTGAGTACAGAATTTTTCATTCATCTTTGCTAGTTTGAGAGAAGGATTTTAGTAAAACAAGACTGCAGTTGTCATGTGTGGGTCCATGGCTGGGTGTGTGTGCATGAGTGCAGAGCTGTCCATATGAAGGTCAGGAGATAACTTTGTGGGGTGAGTTCTCTTCTTCCATCTTTCCATGTATTTCAGGTCACCTGGCTTGCACAGCAAGCACCTTAGCCACAGAATCATCTTGCTGGCTCCAAAGAATCTCAATTTTATCTTTATTCATGCTTCTTTTATTACTAATAATGCTTATAATTGTTACATGCATGCTTGTCATGACTGTACATATTATATAGTAAAGATTAATAAAAATTAACTACTTTTGAACCCTAGTAGTCAATTATAGAGACCAATGTTTCCATTTAGGAGCACTTCTAAACAAAATGTGAAAAGCTTAAAACTAATTATTTCACAGATGGTGATTACTAACAATTTTCCCCTACTAAGCAAAAGAATATGACTTTCCATTGTTTTGAAAATATTTTCTCTTTACTATCATGTGACTTTAACTTACTATATGTATTTACTATGAAAATTGTAAGAGTAAATATACTAACTTTGTGATTCATGATTTTTCCATAGGTCTCCACCAGGGACTCAGCATAGAATGGTGTTTCTCCATAAAGCATCTCATACATACAGACCCCCAAAGACCACCAGTCACACTCAGGTCCATATCTGCCTTTTCCATCTTCCATAGCTTGAAGGATTTCTGGAGAAATATAATCTGGAGTTCCAACTGCCACTGAGGATTGGACCTGAAGAAGTACATATTTTTTATCAGTATATTATATTAGAAAAATAATTTTAAATTAAAACAGTTACTTGAGATATAAAGTAGACAGTAGTGTAAGATTTCTGTTATCTGAATTTAGTCTCCTAGTATACAGGATAGACTTTAGATGGCCTCTATGATAACAGTTTTCGTTACTCATAACCTTACAGAACCTTTACTCTAGCTGAATGCATTTAAGGGAACAATATAATTTTAGTCATTACAGTCCTTAACAATAAAATAACTATTTCAATCACAACATTATTATTGTTCAATTTCGTTTTGGTTTGGTTGTCAAAGACAAGGCCTTACTATATATTTGAGGCCAGTCTCAAACTCACAATCCAATCCCCCTGCCTCAATTTCCCAAGTAATGGGATTATATTATAATTTTATATTCGCTTTCTTACTGTTTTTAATATTTATCTGTGGAATCAATATATATACAGATATATATGTATAACAGAACTAAAAATTTACAATTAGATATGAAGAGAACAACTCCTTCAGATTAACACTGATAATAATTTTAAATTCCTATAAAGAAACCTAAGAAAAGTAAAGGTTGATTATTGTACATTAAGTTCTTAGTTGCATTGGACATGATAGTACATACCTTAAATATTAACACTGAGATGGATCTCTATGAGTTTGTGGCCAGCCTGGTCTACATAGCAGGGTTCAGATTAGCCAAGGAAATTATATAGTGAGACCTTGTCTCAAAAAAAAGCAAACCAAAAAAAAAAAAAAAAAAATCTTAATAGGAAAAATTATAAAAGGGAAGTATAAAACCAAAATTCTTAATTTTAAGAGTTGAAAATATAATTACACCAAGTTAAACAGATAAAAATAACAAATGTTCATTTTATTTTTAGTATCTGGAAGAAGTAGCTGTGCTATTCTACACTCCTACTGACAGTGCCCAGGGCTCTCAATCATCCACACCCTAGACAACACTTGCTGTTTTCACACCCTAGACAACACTTGCTGTTTTCTGGGTTGGCAGCAGCTATCCCACCAGGCTGGGGATGCTGTTATGGTGGGATCACAGGCTTTCTGACTTATTTCTCTAATGACAGGTTTTATGGAGCATCTTTTCATATGCTTACTCCTCATTTATAAATCTTTGGGAAAATCCTCTTACTCTTCACAGGAGCTGTTTTTCTGTTGTTGAGCTTGGGAACAAAAGCTCCTGCAGAAACTACCCCTTATGCTGAGCCTTCCACTAGAGTGATTAACTGATTAACACTTCAACACCTGTGGGACCATTAGAGCGCTGCAGGCCAGAACCTAATTATACTCTGCGGCTGTTCTTTACTTCTTCTTAGCACGTAATCAGATAAGCCATTGGCAGACACTGTTCAGTCTGTATGCTGTCTGTTTATTCGGCCCACGTTGTCATTTGATGCACACAGTGTTTGAGGAGGACAGAATTTGTCAATGTGGGGTATAGGAAGGGTTGTGATCCTGTGTTATTCTCAAGAAATTTGCCAAATACAGTCATAAATATTGTCCTTTATGTTTTCTAAGAGGTTTTTTAGTTTTTACATAGTTCTTTGACTTATTTTGAATTGATTTCGACATGGAGTATAAAGTAAGGTGATTGTTTTGATTGGGAATGTAGTAGGAAAAAAATTAACTCTACACTTAAGTAAACTATAATTATTTTTTAAAAGCTAAAGAAAGGCATTAAAATATTTAAATGAGCCAGGCAGAGTAGCACATGTCTTTAATCTCAGCATCCAGGAAGCAGAAGCAGGTCAATTTCTGTGAGTTCAAAGTCAGCCTTGTCTACAGATTGAATTCCAGGACAGCCAGAGAGCTACATAGTAAGATCCTGTCTCAAAAAATAAAAACTAAATAAATAAAATAAAAATAAAATAAATAAGTTATCTTTCAAGGATAAAGAGAGTAAGAAAGATAAAATTGACTGGATAGAAGGCGGCAAGGAAAACAAAAGCACTCATGCAAATACCAAGCATAACCTACAGTAATAGCACAGGCTACTGGACTAAGTCACAGAATCCAAGAGCAGATTGAAGTCAAAGGACAGAAATTTAACACTGAAAAACAAGTAAGACCAAATGGATAAATGAGAGAAAATCAGTTAAATAATGTAAGCTAAACAAAATGGAAGCACATAAACTATTTTCTGATAAAGTAAAACCAGAAGTATATCACTAAATTAACTAACATGATACTAAGAATAGTAAAAGGTACATCTCAGCTAGCCCAGTGACACTGGCTAGGAAATTCTAGCTACTCAGGAGGCTGAGGATGAAGGATCACATTTTCAAAGCAAGCCTGGGTAACTTAGTTAAGACCTCAGAAGTACAGTGTTTGCCTAGTTAGGCAAGAGGCTCCTATTTGAGGATCAACACCCATTACTCTGTCCTACCAAACAAAACAGAGAAAGAACATAAAATCAAACAAACTTATAAACATTAAAAAACCTGAATGAATTCCAACTTTAAAGCGTGGTGGTCTGATAAGATACAGGGGACTATTTCAATTTTTTTGTATCTGTTGAGGTTTTTATGTTGCCTAGTATGTGGTCTATTTTAGACAAGGTTCCATGTGGAGCTGAGAAGAAGGTATATTCTTTTGTGTTTGGATGGAATGTTCTATAGAAGTCTGTTAAACCCAATTGAGACATAACTTCTGTTAGTTCTTTTGTTTCTTTGTTGAGTTTCTGTCTGGTGGTCCTGTCTAGCAGTGAGAGTAGGGTGTTGAAGTCTCCCACTATGAGTGTGTGAGGTTTTATGTGAGCTTTGAGTTTTAGTAGCGTTTCTTTTATGAATGTGGGTGCCTTTGTATTTGGGACATAGATGTTCAGAATTGAGACTTTGTGCTGATGGATTTCTCCTGTGATGAATACGAAATGACCTTCTTCATCTCTTTTGATTGATTTTGGTTTGAAGTCTAACTTGTTAAATATTAGGATAGCTACACCTGCGTGCTTCTTGGGTCCATTTGATTGGAAGATCTTTTCCCAACCCCTAACCCTGAAGCAATGTCTGTCTTTGAAGCTTAGATGTGTTTCTTGTATGCAGCAGAAGGATGGATTCTGTCTTCGTGTCCATTCTGTTAGCCTGTGTCTTTTTATAGGCCAGTTAAGCTAATGGACCCTCAGACTGATAGCTGGGAATCCAGCATTGTATTGACTCAGACTCCCTGAACATGGGTCTCAGTTAGAAGGCCTGAGCAGTCTAAGGGACCTCAGCCAGTGGAGCCAGGATGTATCCCTGGTGCACAAAAGGACTTTGGGAGCACATTCCCCAGGGAAGGATACTCCCCTTAGCCGAGAGGCAGGAGGGAGGGCCTAGTCCCTACTCCAAATGACTTGACAGATTTAGATGAGCTCTCCTGGAAGGTGTATCACCCTACATGTGGAGTATGGGGGGATGGGAGGGGAAGGTGGTCAGGGGACATGGAAGGGTGGCAGGGAGGAAGGGAGGGAGAGAGGGAGGGAGAGGGAACTGGGATCAATATGTAAAATAAGAAAAAAAAAAGCTGGAGAAAAAAAAAACTGAATGAAAATTAATCAGCATAAACTACTTGTGTAAAGCCAAACAGCAGTAAGCAAGTTCTAAACTGCAAAAGAAACAGGTAATGGCTTTACCATACAACTGTTCAAGATCCAAAATGAGTACAGGTGGTGCATGGGTATGCTGTTCACTCTTCAAGGCCCTCATTTGGCAGGGCCACGTTCAAGCTCTGGTTTGTTTTGCCAGGGATTGGCTTTAGACTGAAATATTCCAGTAGATACAGAATATTAAAAAAGTTAATGGCCATCATCCTCCCTGTAGAGTGGGTGGGGGATAGGATGGGAGGGGGGTTGGAGGGAATGGGAGGGAGGGGGAGGGAACTGGGATCGATATGTAAAAAAAATAATAATAATAAAAATTTTTTTAAAAAAAGTTAATGGCCAAAACTCATGGTGCTGGTCTGCTATTCTGTGTCCCTGTGGATATCACTCATCTATGACTCTACAGTGCAATGTGCGGGTGGTCCAGCCTTTACGAGTAACTTGGGGGGCTTTAGGCCTGCCCTTATACAAGGCCAATGGCAAATCTTTCTCAACTGTAGTGCCTTCTCCCAAGCTTTGAAGAAATGTTATGCTATACTCTGACTCTGGCCATGTCAGGGATGCTCCCATGCTGGGCAATCAGGAAGGAGTCCGCCACAACCTCAAGAGTTCATTTCTGTTAGGAATAACTATAACATGCCAACACTGGCCACTGCCTGAAAGAGCTGTTTTAAATAACATTATAGTAGGAAGGATAATAGTTATTCCTTTCAATATAGCCAAATTCATAAGTCACATAATGCATTTGCAAAATCACCTAAGGATAACTTTCCACAGTCAAATAACTAGTCAAGAATAATGGTGACACACTCATGGCTTTGGAATTTTTATATTAAAATGTCTTCCAAAAAATTCTGCCAATTAAAGTGATATACATTTGGGCCTCTGGATTAGACAAAAAAAAAATAGAACCCAATGGTGGTGGTTTGAAAGAAAATGGCCCCCAAAGGAGTAGCAGTTTTAGGAGGTGTGGCCCTGTTAGAGTAGGGTGTGTCATTGTGGATGTGGGCTTTGAGGTCTCATATATGCTCCAACTACATTCAATGAGACTGACCACTTCCTGCTGCCTGCAAGTCAAGATATAGGGCACTCAGCTACTTCTCCAGCACCATGTCTGCCTGCATGCCACCATGTCACACCATGATAATGGACTAAACCTCTGACTGTAAACCACATCAATTAAATGTTTTCCTTTATAAGAGATGCTGTGGTCATGGTGTCTCTTCTCATCAACAGAAACCCTAACTTGAACACCATGTAAAGCAATACATGGTATAGCATGCCTATAACTTGAGTCTTCTATTGCAATATAGGAAGAAGAGGCAGTAAAACTTCCAGAAGCTATAGACCAGCCAGCCTGATGTACAGTGGTGGTGAAGAGACTTTGTCTTAAACAAGGTGGAAACTGAGGACCTAGATGTTCTTTGACTTCCACATACACCCACATTGACACACCCACATGTAAGCACATACACATATGTACCCATACACACCATAATACACATATAAAAAGCAATAAAATCTGAAAACATAATCTTTCAATTGAACAAGAACTTAGTCAGCAAACATCAAATTGGAGCACAAAACGAATGCTACCTAATCTTCACCCAAAACAGAAGATTCATTTGCTGAACACTGTCCCTGAGAACAACTACATCATTAGAAAAAAAAAGTACAAATGAAGATGGAGTTATGTGGGGTTTTTTTGTATGTGAAACATACATTCTTTGTACCTCTAAAAACTTTGGAACATTTCAAGTATAATAGATATTAGCTAAAAAAGAAGCCACGACACTCTCCAAGCACCATTCTCAAGCTCGCTGTTACAAGCAGGGAAGATGCTCTGAGCATCTTGTTATGTGTGTGCCCAACACTTTATGAAAGGAGCCAGAACACAGACAAATGGGGACTGGGGGACAGACAGAACAGAGAAAGAAGACATGGCAAGGGGAATGTCTACAGGCAGAATAATTCATGTTTATTTACCGTTCCATCTTCCATCAGCTTCAGACAAGAACCAAAATCTGCTAACCGAATATGTCCATTCATATCCATCAATATATTGTCAGGTTTAATGTCTCTGAAAAAATAAATAACATTTGAGTTTTAGTTGGAAAATAATCAGGCAGCCTTTTTACATGAAAAAAAAAAAAACTTCAACTTCTTCTTTTAAAGAATACTCTTTAAAAAATCTGAGTTTTACAGGTTCCACCCTAGCTGTGATTCACATTAAACTTTCTAAATCATTTATCACTTCAGTAATTCCTGGAAATAAAAAGTACTCTGGTAATTCTCGTTGTGGGAAGGGTACTTTGGGGGAAGGAAGCATTCTTTATTGCAAAGGCAGTCACACAGCACACAGACATGTCACTGCTGTCTGGTGGTGGCATTTTTAGCATATGTGACTCACTTTTAAAAATGCAGGGAAAGTAAGAGCCTCCTATAGATATCATAATGGAACTTTGTGGGAGGGTTTGCATTATAGATTTCATTTCATTAAATATTTTTAGCTTACACAATTTGTTTCTCCTGGAATGTAGTACGGTGTTGATTTTTCTAATTAAATATATATTTTATCCACTTCTCAAATTAGAATGTAGCTGATGACTTCTGAAATCTATATGTTGTATTAGTAGTTCCACACCTAATATTGATTTCTTGCATTTTTCTTATTTTTGCCATTGTTGTTTGGATGGCTTGCACTCTGAGGCATGATTTCACTCTTAAATTATTGAGGCTAACCTCAGCTCACCATGTCACTCAGACTAGTATTGAACTCTGGGCAATTTACTTGCTGGGTCTCCAGGGTGCTGTAATTATAGGTGTTAACTACCACACCCAGATTCTCTTGCATTTTTGTAAGATTAAAACTAGAACCTTGTTTAGAGCTTTGCATCCCATGTAGTTCCCTAAGTGATTGTTATCTTTCCACAGCTGCCCAAGTGGGTACAATCATCTATCCTGTCTACAGATGAAACAGCTCAGACACCCTGAGCTTATACTCAAGGCCTCTGCCAGAATTTACAGGCAGGCAGTCAGCCTCCAGATTCCATAGTCTATACTATTAGCAACATTCAAATTAGACATCTGTCTTTAGTGACAATTTACTAGGGACTAAACTAGTGACTTTAAATAAGGTATTTGTGTTTTTAATGATTTCTAAAATAATATTTGCCTATTGCTCTTCCCTTATTTCTGTTTTTATTAATTTTAATTAACTTCATTTTACCTTTTCCTTCTCTGTAATTCATTCAAGCTAATTTTGCTTTTTTCCCCCAGCTTCCTGAATTAAGAAACTTAATTCACCTTTTACCTTATTCCTTTTCCAATATTTCCATTTAAGATTAGAGGATTTCTTTTACTGCAGCAGTTTCTGGAGCTGTGCCCCACAAGTTCTGATATAGAACACTGTTATTTTTCTCTTCATTATAAATATTTTGTAATTCCCATTATGCTCTCTCCACCACAGCTTATAGAGAAGACATTTAGAAGTAACTGCCTGTTACCTCAAGACTCTGGACAATCAGAAGTTTAAGGCCAACCTGGCCTACAGGAAAAAATAATACTTATTACACAAGGCTTCCCTGACATCTCTATTCACCTTTAATGTCTCCACTGCAATTATAATTTTAAACCCAGTGCTACTGTTTAGTTAACAGTTATCTCCCTTCTATACAGAAAGAGCTATGAAGGCCCATAGCATATCTACTTTCTTCCCCACTGAGTCTGCAGTACCCAGTACAGTATGCTATGGTATTTTGTTTATGATCTAATAAAGATTGCCTAAAGATCACAGTGCAGAGCTAAACCACTATTTAGCCACACACCTACTTAAGAGCTGGCACACACACACACATGCACACGCAGACACGCACACAAAGCCACTAGTTAGCCATAGAGGACAGGTAGTACTGGCCACACCTTTAATCCCAGCACTCAGGAGATAGAGGCAGATGGATCTCTTGAGTTCAAGGCTACCTTGGGCTACATGAGAGTAAATCAGTCTAAAAGAGAAATAGATCACAGCACTTGGGATGACACAACTTTACACTCAACACGAGAAAGGAATATAAAGTAGGAAGAGACAAGAGCAATCTGAGGCAGTCTAGGCAGAAGGGAGTCTGAATTTGTAGAGGAGACAGCATAGCCCCTTCAGCCGGAGGTAGAGGTAAGAGCTAGTGGCTGGCTATTTTGCTTCTCTGACCTTCAGCTTTAACTCCAATATCTGTATCTGTGTTTTTATTACTCCTGTTACAATACAGAACAGTTGCTATGTTAATAATTTCCTAAACTAATGAATGTCCTGCAACTGGATATCTCAGAAGTTGAGAAGCTTCACACGATGATAAACAACAGCACTTTCCTTTCAGAAGCTAAAATCAAAGTTTAGAACTGGAGAGAACAGATTCATTTATTTCTCAATGAAGTAATTTTAATAAGATTTGGTGATTTTATATAACTATCATTGTGTCTGCCACAATTTTCTTATATCCCTATGCTGGAGAAGTCTATTGCTTCCAGTTTTCCCATTAAAGACAACACTGCAACAATACTTCATAAAGAAAAGACCGTGATTAGTGTTCTCATAATGTAAACTAGCCACATTCCAGATTATTTCCTATGATAAATTCATAGGTGATTGGGATAAGATACATCAAGCTTTTGAAGAAAACAAACAAATGAACTCTTTGCCAGGAGAAAAAAAATACAATTATGGTGTTACAACTTAGTCAAAGAGTATGCAATTTCTCATTCTGTGACAATGACAGGACTATCAATCATTTTAACTTTTCTCAATCTCATAATTAAACAGTAGTCATTTCTTTGATTACTTGTGATGTTAAATATTTTATTCATACTTGTACTATGTTGCTTCTTTTATTCATTTATTTGTAGCCATTAATGAACCTATCATTTACATATTAAGGTTTTCAACTGCCCTATGTTTTCAAAATACTGACACATTCCTTTCTCTTACAACTTCCTAACAAATTAGTTCCCTATTTCTCAGTAAATACCTTGCTTTTATTTTCCTCTATTCTTTGTTTGCCTCTATTAGTTATTCCTTCATTTCTTTACCCCCAGAAACAATTCCTAGAATAAATAGAGAGCAGATAAGCCTGGCCATCTTGATTACATAAAACCATGACTTCCTTGAAGAGAAAACAGAAGTCAATGAGGACTAGGTGCAGGCTTGCAGCTGGGGATCTAGGGGCTACTTCATGAATTTTCAGTGTTAATTTTTCTTTCAAAACAATTAGCCACAAATTCCAGTTTTCCTAGTGTGACTTCTAGCCTCAGAGTACTAGGCCATTTGACAAGATGATGGAAACTCAATAGAAAGAGAAAAGAAGAAACAGTTGCTAGTGTCATTACATCTGAAAGCTCCCACAAGCCTCCTCAATTCTAAGACAGCCTCATGGAAGCACCAACTGCTGGACATATAAGGGACATAGTCACAAACTTCACTGTTCCTGTCTCTAACTCACTACACCAAAAGGGGCCATAAATGTGCCTACCTGAATTTTTAAAATTCACATTCAGGGGCTGAGTTTGTGGCTCAGTAGTATAGCATTTTCTCAGTAGTATACTGAGACATGACACATCATTTCATTTACAAGAATACTTGAAATGTGATTATCTAGTATTTGGTACATATAGAAGGAAGGGAAATAGAATAAATGTATTGGCAAAGAAATGTAAAAATCTAGAGACAGTTACACAAGCAGACTATTTTAGCTCACAGGGCCCTGGGTGCCATCTCCAGCACACAAAATAACTACACAAAAAATGAGTGACTTAATTCAGAGTTTTGGTCTCAAGCTATGGATCAGGGGTATAAACGCCTGGATCTATCCCTAGAACAGGAAAAAAAAATCAGGCACTGGAAACTAGATTCTAGTTTTAAACCTCTCAACTAATAAATAAAATACAAAAGATCCAAAATGAATAATATGCTTGTATTATATGTATAAGGAACAGTCTCTAAAATTTGAGGGGAATAATGAAAGATGAGATTAAAACCACCATAGATGACTAAATAAAACATTCCACAAGAACGAATTAAGCAATTCCAACGTGAATAATAGTGGTAATACTACATATTATATACAAATAGAAAACAAATCTCTTCCTCTTTCATCTTTGCATCCCCTTGTCTCTATAATAAAAATCTCCATGTATAGATAAAACACAATCTTCCCTATGCCTCCCCCAAGCAAAAAATAGAACACTAAAGCTACAATAATTAACAGGCAAAAACTCACAAGTGAAAGTGAGAAAACACAGAAGAGAGACCTTGGAACACTCAGGCCTAAATTAAATGTCTCAATCAAATCCCTCTGGTGATATTTTATGATCTAACAAAGCTTCCCTGAAGATCAGAGAGTAGAGCTAGCCACACTAGTTAGCCACAAAGGCCAGGCAGTGGTGGCTCATACCTTTAGTCCCAGCACTAAGGAGGTGGATATAGGAAGAGACAGAGGAATACAAGGCAAAGCAGTCAGTCTGAGGACAGAATTGCACCTTTGGTCTGAGCATTGGTAGAGGTAAGAACTCTCTAGTGGCTGGCTGCTCTGCTTCACTCCCTGATAGCTGACTCTGAGTTCTTATTATTAAGACAAAAGAGTACTTGTGCTACACCCCTCCCTTCAGGGTTCAGGAAAGCAAGTGGAAAAAGAGGCAGAAAGAATGTAAGGAGCAGAGGCGGTGAAGGACACCAGGAGAACAAGGCCTCTAAATCAGGGATGCTCAACCTGTGGGGTTAAATGACCCTTTCACAGATGTCACCTAAGACCACTGGAAAACAGAGATATTTAGATTAAAATTCACAACAGTAGCAAAATTACACTTATGATGTAGTAACAAAGTAATTTTATGACTGGGGGTCACAACATGAGGAAATGCATTAAAGAGTCACAGCATTAGGAAGGTTGAGAAACCACTACTCCAAATCAACATGATCAAAACTAGTATGAAATAACAGGCTGAGGCAGCATGCACAGGGCCTGCACAAGGGCCTTTGCATATATGCTATGGCTTCCAGTTCAATGTTTTTATCAGATTGCTGAGGTGTGCAAA